TGGCTTTAGTCTAGCAATCATAATGATGCTGTTACTCACAGACCAGCTGGACCTCCAAGTCTCCTTCCTAGTGGCGTTTTGAAAAGTGGTCAATTAGCAAGCTGTGAATATTAGACTAACTTCATCACCAGCATAATTCCACTTAAGGCAACTGAAAGCCAAAATGCTTCAGTGTACTTTGATAAAGCTTCAAAAGAGTTGCACAGCCTTTGTGCACAGGCACAGCAATCTCTAAGTCACTAGGTTGTATTTTAAATGTGTACTGCCCTTGAATGCATTACTGAACCCAGCTCAGATGAAATCCTGATGATGATGCCTCTCTCTGTGCTGTGTGCTCTTTTTGGAAAGGGAATAAAACATTATTAGTTGGTCCTTGTACAATCACTCTGACGCAGATATGTTGGTCCTTTTCATCCCAAATTCCAAGCAGGCAAAGAAAACAGGTTCAGTAAGATTGCCAAGATCCTGTGACAAGCCTCTCATGGAGGGTGCCTTATATCTAATCTTTTACTTTCAAGCTCTGAATAGATTCTGTTCCTTTTATCTACTGTGATTGAGCAGCTTTATGATCCTGACATCTATCACCATATATGAGATAATAGTGACTCAGAAGTTATGATTAAGAAGTAGGATTTGATTAAAATGCAATTTTGTAATGAAAGCCTAATGAAAATTCACTACAAGAACATAAATCCCCTAAAACGGTATCTGCATTAGGCATGTTTACGATTCTCTTTGCTATATATTTAGTCCTAAACCCCCCCAAACCTTGGTCATAGAAGATGAATATACCCATGCAAGTGTGGGTATTTTAAGCTGCTCTATTGATATCTCAGGCCATACATACTTGTGCACACGTTGGAGTAATTACCTCTATCTCTCTTCCCTGCCCACAGCAAAGCTTGACCTCTTCACCACCCAACAGTAATTAGCAGTTGACAACTTCCACGCTTGTTATTTCTTTTCACGGGGAGCAAGTGCACTGAAGGGAAATGAGCTGAAACTCCCAGGCACATATGTCAGGCAAACAAGCAAAACGTTTGTCACTCAGCAGCTGGGTGAGGTTCCAACCATCCACCCCCAGCAAAAGCTGAAGTCCCCATGCCAAATCTCCAATCACTGATACATAAAGCAGTAAAAAAATTCTCAATTCAAATCTACTTGCAAGAAAGCAAATTTGGAAACTAGTGCAAATACTAGAAGAAGGTAGGTAACCAGATAATTATATCCCTTCAATGTATTCATAGCCTTTATCTGTTTTACAACAAACACTATAGGAAGCAGATAAATACTCAGATTAGAGCCAAGTCTTACCACAACTTTCACACTTAACATACCGTAAAATTCATGAAGGCGTTTTACAAACAAAAACAGGATTCCCTTTTTCTCTCTCTTTTTAAAGGTTGAATCTAAATCTTTTTAAGTAGGCTGCTGCTGAACAAGATCAGCTCCTCAGTGCAAAGGTCCCTGTGTAACTACACAACATTACATGATTGCTCTGTGTTTATACACTTACATAATGCATAATTACATCTCATTTATCCACTGAATTAATTTGCATACTGGATGGTAAATAAAATGGAAATTGGAGTAAATTTAGCAAATCACCTGCAGCACTTTGAATCTAAGAATGCAAGGATGCAATAATGTCTGGTAGCAATATGATACAATCACTTCCATTCTGCTACAGTTTTAGGAGGTGATGCATTGCAACACTCTCATTCTTCCCTGTGTAACAGATTCATTGGATGCAGCGAGCCCAAAAAAGGGAGAGACTGCACCCAAAACTCTTGTCCTGAACACTGTATTAAAATAGAAATACCTATGTGACTACATGGAACATGTCGTCATATAGGCATAATTGCTAATTTAGACTGAATCTGCAGGTTTAAACATCCCCAATTTGGGATTATTTCAACTTTAACTGTTAGACCAGTCCCTGCTTGCAAGGAAATAGATGAGATTGTACACTTTTGAAACAAAACAGGCAAAACAAACACCCTGTCTTGCCACACAGAATATTTCCTCCTAGTTGACATTTGCATCTAAAACCTCCAGATAGAAGATTACTCATTCTGCAGTGATTTGTCCTTATATGAGAATTTGCTGGTTTTGACAACTAGGTTACTTCATGGTTTGGACAGCTCATATTGTCACAGTGATTGTTGCAACAATGCTGATCTTAAAATCAAATGTTGTTGTTGTGACATTTCCCAGAAAATAGTTTGTAAGAGAGGCTGACAGCTTTCTGGTCTGCTCTTTAAATTTGTCATGCACCTCAGTTTTTCATTGTGGTTGCAAACAGAAATACTTCTCTCTGAAATAAAGCTGGACAAAGGAGGGGTCTGCTTCACCAGTGGGTTGTACCTTAGACCCCTCTCCAGTTTCCCTGCTCTGATTGCAGTAGCAGATCATTGTAACAAAAAGCTGCAAGTCTGGAATGTGTGATGGATCTTTTGAAAAGGGATTTTAGCTTGTTGTAGAAGCCAATCCAGCAGAACATCAGCCCTTTATCCCTGCTTCTTTTTTTTTTTACTTAATATTCAGTCACTTTAAATCAAACCTAATTCACATGATAATTGCACAGACGTGGCCTAATTAAACTTAGTGCATCTATGGATTTTTACTTTGAATCCACCCCCTTGGTTCCCTGTTCACATTTTCTTCAGTGGCACATCAACATTTGAAATTCCGGTGCTGCACATCTTAAATCTTAATTTGGAAACCTCTTGTAAAATATGTGGTAAGGAAGGGTCAGATTCTGCCTGTGAATGACAGAATAGGTAAGTATCATTCAGCACAAGGATGGATGGCTGAATATATTAGACTTGCAAAATGAGAAAGGCCTGCCTGTGACCTCTTTACAAAGCTAGTGGTAAGGAGACAGAATTTAAAATAAAATTTTAAAAAAGAATAAATTTAACACTTACCCGCTCATCATCAGAAAGTCTCTTAGTGATATGAATTGCACTTCTTCGGGACCGTCTTGGGTGACTCTTATGCCTGAATAAATAGTGGTTTTTCAGTGATCCAATCTGTAAGACACAGGCGCGCTTTAATTATCAGGAAGCATTTCCCCACTGTGAGCAGGTACCAACAATCAAAACCTGAACGAGTTCACTCTGCCTTAAAGACAAAAGAGCAAGAAACCAGACTGTAGATATTTTAATCCAAACAAGGAAGCACTCTTCCAGTAACAAGTGCTTCTCTCAGCCTGCGTGCTGCTAGAAGAAGCCGGGGCAGTAATTTCATTTGGGCTACTCAAGCGCAGTCATTACAACTGCAGCACTCAAGTTACACAGCACTTGCGCTAATGACCACAGTACTCACGGACTCAGCTCGGCAAGGACAAGGTGGGCAGATTGCTCACCAGTTTTATCTGCTTTTCCTGTGTTTGAGCAGGACAGGTGTGAAAAGCTTTGCCTGGCTTCAGACACCTCACTGCGGGGCTGGGTAGTTCAGGCACCCGCTGTAGCAGCATTTTCACTCGCTCAGCAGCCAGCCGGCCACCGGGCAAGCCAGGAGCATCCCGCTGGCTTTGAATATCCCACTCTGCTAAGGACGGGCTCTTTGACAACTGTGCGGGCAAATGCAGTGGCTACAAGGGCAGCAGGACCAAACCCGCGCAGGTGGCATCACACGCAGGAGGGATCCGATTTCACATAGCTGGGATCACACCTACGGATTTGGGAGCGAGTTGAACACGGCTGTGCCCCAAAGCGGGGCTGGGCAGGCGGCCAGAGGGGGCTAGCAGCCCGCGGGCAGCACCGGGGACACGGAGGGGGACTGGCCGCGACCCCGACCACGGCGCCAGGCCGGGGACAGCAGGGTCCCAGAGCTGGGGGCGCCGTGCCCGGCGCAGGACTCTCGCCGGGAGGTTGAGGCGAAGCTGCTCCCTCACGGCGGTTACTCATCCCTGACAACGCTGACGTCACGGCATCCCAAAAAAGCGCCCGAGGGATGGCTGGAGAGAAGCCCCGCGATGGCGATGGAGCCGGCGGGGCGGAGGCGGAGCGGGGTCGTAGCCGACACTGCCCGCGCCCTCCTCCTCCTGCCCGAGCTGCCGGGGGAAAGCCGGGGCAGAGCCCTGCCCGGTGCCCGGGGCACTGCGGGTGCACGGCCGGTCTCCTCAGGAGGAGCGGGGTGCCCTGCCTGACTCTGCTCGCTCTCCTCAAGGAGAGCCAGCTGCCCTGCCCGGACCCCTCCAGGGAAAGCCGGACCTCCCGCCCGACCCTGCCCAGTCCAGCCAAAGAGAACGGGAGCGCCCTGCCCGCTCCCGTCAAGGAGAGCCGGAGGTCCCCGCCCGCTCCCCTGGGGAAGACCAGAGTCTCTCTGCTCCGTCCCCTCGGAGAGAGCCGTCCCTGGCCGGCCCCCAGGAGGCTGCGGTGGGAGACCGGGAGCTTTAAACTCCCCGGAGCCCCGCGGGCGGCAGCCGGGCACAAGTTGGAGGGAGCGGGGAGGGAATGATGCTCGCGGGATGGGAGAGGAGCCCCGTCGCTGGGCATCCTGCGGGTGTCCCCCGCCCGGCCGTACCTGCCCCACCAGGTCGTAGTCCAGCTCGTCCGCGATGGCTCTGGCAGCGTCGGGGCCAGCCGGGATCTCCGCTGCCCACTCGTTGAGGAAGAGCCGCCCGGCGCTGCCTCCTCGGGGCAGGGAGCAGGCTGCCAGGAGCACGGCCAGAGCCGCGCACGGGCCGGCCCAACGCCGCCCGGCCATGGCCGCGGGACGCGGGATGCTCGATGCGCGATGCGGGATGCGGGATGCGGCGCCGCGTTGCTACGCGATAGCGCGGAGCGGAGCCTTGCCTGCCTTGCCTTGCCTGCCGGCGCGGCTGCCCGAGGCACACAGACCCTCCGGAGCCGGAATGGAAATGAGTGTTTACACGTCAAAACGACGACAGCCATCCTGACGTCAAGTGTACCTGGCCCCCGAGCCGGGGGGGTGATTCCCGGGGGGGCGCGGAAGGGAGCGGGATGGAGGCGGGGGCGCGGGGGCGAAGCCCGGCGGGCCCCGGGGCACCGGGAGGGGGATGGAGGGGGCGGCAGCGCTCGGCGGGACGGGGATGCGGGCTTTGGTCCCCGAGGGTCGGTCCGTGCCGGTGCGCGATCGTTTCCATTATTGAAGGGCATCGGTGCGGCAGGAGCGCGGACCCAGCCCGCCCCTTGCACCCATCCCGTCGGGGGTGGGTTTTCTGCCCCCTCTCGCTTCGGTGCGAGGGCAGAGCGAGGTGAATTTAGGATTTTTTGTTCAATTGGGCTTCTCACCCGGGACCCACCGGGCGGCACAGCGCGATTACGGCGCGTTGTCCCCCGACACCTCCGGCACACCACAGACGTGCGGCACTAATGGGCACCCTGCCCACCCTGGAGATGGTGGGCAAATGTTTGTCCTCAAATACAGCTATTCATTTTGTACAATTTCTCATTTAAAAATAATTTCAATTCTTATTCTAATAATCACATGCAGGGGTCTGCACATTGTACTTTTTCAGCAATTCTTTCAATTTGTTAAACAGTTATTTACACATTTTCATTTTGCATCTGCATTTCCCCAGCCCCTTCAGCTTTATTTCACGTTCCCTCTACCTTTTCTTTGTCTTTTCACCTGCTAGAAAATGCTTCTAAAACTTTCCCGATGTTCTCTAAATGCCCTTTGCCTCTGAAACTGAACCATTTAGCATCTTCACTTTATGGTGCACTGTATTTCATGTCTTGATTCTTCCAACTTTTTAACTGTAAATTTTAGCAAGCTGGTTTTAGATCTGTGCTCCAAGACTGTGCTTCCTTCCATTTATTATGGAGTGACAGATATGCCTGCCTTGCTCTTCACTGGCTTCTAAAATGGGAAAATAAACAAAACATAAATATGAAACAATGAGGGGAGGAAAACATTTTAAAAGATCATTGCTTCAGTGTCTGACATCTCATTCCCAGGCACCACCATGGGAGTGGATATGGTTCTGGGCATCTCCCATGGACCCACAGGGACCAGGGGCTGCAATCACTGCCACTGCTCTGTCAGCTGTCAGAGTAGGAGCCTCAAAGAACAGGAATATGAACGGATCCACGAGAGGGGGAAAGGGCGAGTGTGTAGTACGTGTACTAGAAATGCCAAGAGAATATCAATAAATATTGATATAGAGTAGAACACTGATAAAATGGCACTGGAACACCATCCTCTTGCTCACCCACATTTGCTTTCTGCAACATAGTGCAACAGCAGGTCAAGGTTCACCAAAGCCGAGGCAGCAACCAGGGCACGTGGTTCCTGTTCATTTTAATTTATTTTATTCTCTGCATGGTTTTCTCAGTGCTCACTGCCAAAAATACAATTTATTCACTTTCCTGGACAGATGCCTTAAAGATCCCTCTGTTCCTTTTTTAGAGCTGTTTCTGAGGCTTTATTTAAATGTGGCCACCTCACCAAGCAGTTTCTGATTCCATGTGGGTTTTTCCTGTGTGAGTGTTACCTCCAGTGGTAACCCAAACTGCTTTTTTACCTCTCATTTCTCATCACTGACAGTGCAAACTGGCATGGTTTTTTTGCTGTATTTTGTGTTAAGGAGCTCTGCAGAAATGTTGTCTCCAAACAGAAATTAAATCAGAGTTGTATGTACATATAATAGCAATTTATATCCTCAAATCTTTAAGTAGTAGTCAGAACATCTAGATCCACAGGAGTGTTTTGAAAGTCCAGGCACCCTTTTCTAAATGATAAATACATTCACATGTGTTTGGTTTTTTAAGAAATCCTTCCATGCAGGATGATGGACTGTGTACAGAGTTCTGAATTGTGCTGGAGAATGAGTCTGTGCCACATGGACTTGGTTATGTCATCCATTCAGGAAAGATGCTGTCCAATGCACTAAATTCCCATCTAATAATAGCACAATAAATAGGAACAGCTTGCTCAGCAGCATCAGGTGGAGTCAAAGATAATTGTTTTATGCTTCATAAACAATTTAGGCTTGTTGTTTACCAGTGAAATATTTATTTAGACCCTACTGCACCCAGTGTATTATATCTGAGTGTAAGATCTGAAGCAAGGCTGGTTATGAAAATATTATTTCTTCTTTATAACTTCAGTTCAACATGGAATTCAAGGTAGACCTGCTTCCAGGGGGTCCACATCCCAATACAAGCCTGCTGCAGAGGGTTTTTTTTTCAGTGAGAATAGTTACATTCCCCAAGCAGAAATATACCCTTGTAGACCTAGTGGAAAATATTCCTTTGCACATAGGTAAGATATTCACGAATACAGCATGTAACACTGAGGATGAAATCCTAAGTTACAAGGGCCAGGAGTTTACCTGAGTGGGTTTTTCACCCTTATTGTCAAAAGGCATGCAAATATTTGAGGCTGTAGCTGTGCTTTTGTACCCACATTTCTGATCCTCCAAAGACCGTCCATGAAAAGGGGAGACAGGCTGGTTTTGAAAAGCCAGGTACTCACACACAGCAGCCCGTTTCCTTGCTTGTTAGCAGACATAACTTATTTAAACTTGGTAATCCTTATTCAAAGTTCAAGGCCATAATCTGGAGCCCCGCTCTCTGCTGGCTGCCGTGGCACCTCTCCAGACATCTGTTCCTGGTGTGGGGAGCATCACTCTCTGCAGCTGGTGCCCCGTGGCTTCACCATGTCCACACTGATGTCCAACAAACCCATCCCTTCAGTCAGAACTGTGCAGTGGGGAAGGCTGGAGGAGTTCAGGAGCTTCAGCACCTCTGACCAGTGGCCAGAGCTCTGTGACTTTTATCTCTTACAGAAGTGGAAAGCACAGGCATGAAACCCTGCAAGCTGTGAATTGAGAAAGCTGTCACAGAAATGAAAGTACCCCAGGAATGGATAAAGTGAGAAAGATGCATTTCTTCTTCTTCTGACACATTTCTTCTTCTTCTTTGTGCATCTTGTAGAAGGGGAGCAACTCTCTTCTTGCTGAGGCAATAAAGGAAAGAGCAGAGATAAACAGGAGCACATAAGGAAAACCAAAGGCAGGTAAAAGCACTGTGACCGTGTTCACAAGGCTCTCAGGTTGAGGGAAGAGACGAGGATCTGACTCCATGTTCCAGAAGGCTTGATTTATTATTTTGTGATATATATTACATTAAAACTATACTAAAAGAATAGAAGAAAGGATTTCATCAGAAGGCTAGCTAAGAATAGAAAAAGAAGGAATGATAACAAAAATTTGTGGCTCAGACTCTCTCTCCGAGCCAGCTGACTGTGATTGGCCATTAATTAGAAACAACCACATGAGACCAATCACAGATGCACCTGTTGCATTCCACATCAGCAGATAATCATTGTTTACATTTTTTTCCTGAGGCCTCTTAGCTTCTCAGGAGGAAAAATCCTAAGGAAAGGATTTTTCATAAAAGATGTGTGTGACAAAGCACCATGTTTATCTGCAGAAAACTCAAAGGAGTTCAGGAGGATGCTGCTGTTTTATCATCTTGTTTTGTTGCAAGCATATTTTGGATGAAGAAAGGTATTATGTAATGACATTTTCCTTTAGATCAGTGACAATGTAAAAGCCAGACAGGGGATTCATCTCTGATGTCATATCTTGATCAGCCCATTTGATTTTGTAAGATCAAGCGAAGAATATTTTTTCTACCCACAGAGCTTGCTTTCAATATGTATGCTGAATTTGGGTTAAAATACTGGTAGTTCTTGATGGGTAAGCATAAACCCACTCTATGAAAAACCAAAGAGGTGTGTTTAGGGAGCAAAAGGAGCATATTCTGAATGTTGCTGAGTCCCTGCACACACTGCTGGGTTGACAGAGAGAGATAAAACCAAGTCTTGGCTCTGGGAATCTTCTACCACACAGAGAAGTGAAGCAGAGACTTTGCCTGTCCACTGCAAGCCTTGCTGTGACAGGAAGAGTGATGCAGAAACAGAGATACATGCTGGGAGGGACAGATCACAGCACAGGATTTACATTCAGCCCAGTCCTGGACTAAGGATTTTGGCTGCTGGGCATCACCAGCCTTCACCTCTTAAGGGTGGCCCTCCAGCTGTTCAGCCACTCTTCTTCTTTTATTTCTCCTGCAAGTGCATTCACCCAGGAGAAAAAAAAAACTTGTCGAAAATCTGTTATATAAAGGCACCATTGACATTTTTGCCTGTGCCTCGTTCCAAAATCTTCCTGTTTTTAACACCGCAAGGCCAGTAGGTCTTACACAGCTGTTGGGAGCTAAATGTTTTGGTTTTTTTTTAACACAAAACTTCAGCCTGTGAGGTAAAAAAACAACCAGGAGTTGATATTATTTTACTGTTTCTATTTGGAGGATTTTAACACCACTCAAATGTCCAATTTGAGGATGTTAACACCACTCAAATGGGAATTTGTGTTATATGTGGCTTTAATTTGCAAAGTCAGAGCACCACTTTTTAAAACAAGAGTAGCTGGAAATGCAGTTTGATGCCTGAAGTGCTTGTGGTGGCTGCTGCAGTTTAATTAGTTAAATACTAAAAAGGGCTGTGCTGCTTGTATTTAATTTGGCTGTGGACCGAAGAACACTCTTGAAACCCACTCTTTTACAGTAACACTATTTCTTTTTCTGCAGGAGCCAGCACTACAAAGCAATTGGAGGACGGCGTAAAAGAGGCCATATGTGCAGGCAATCACAGAGGATAAGGGGGAACACCTGTTTTTCCATCAATTACAGCCTGTGAGCTCGCGGGGCATATTTATTCTGGGGGCATTACATTTGCTTGGGTAATAGCCCATGACACATTTCCAGTTTTACAGCAGACAAGCCCCGGGAAGGAGCTAATCATGTCTGTACAAATGAAACACAAACATGCCCTCCTGGCCATACACGTGGTTGAACAGGGGCCCTAATGACACCAGGAGCCACCCGGGGCCAGCAGGAAGCAGTTGGGGAACAACCACACGTTTGTGGCCACCTGGATGGGTCTGTTTGCTCTGCAAAGCCAACCTGAGCAAAAAAAGCCCTGGGAAAAGGCATGGATGGGGCTGTAGGAGAGGTCGGTGCCCTCAGGGAAATGGTAGTAATCTATTTGGTAAGGACAAAGTCCAACTCAAGTGTTTTACTGATGGCAATAGAAAGAGATATTATTGGGGAATTTTTTTGAAAATCCTGATAGAAGAAGTGAACAAAGAAAGGAAATATTTTAAGAAAAAAATTGTTGTTTTTTTTTTAAATTTTATTTTTATTTTCATTTATTTATTTTCTTTTAATTTTTATTTTAATTTTTATTTTTAAGGAAATATTTTAAGGAAATATTTTATCACCTGTATCTGCAAACCTGACGTTTTAAATTTCTTCATACCTGTGTTACATTTGTAATAATATTTTATTTATGGTAATGATTTTATTCTACTAGCCTGCAAGCTCTTCAATAAATCCCTGTAGAAGGATGAATATATTCACAAATCTGTTGTTGATTTAATAACAGTGTAATTAATATTTAGCCTTGCTGAAAACATTTCTGAGAATTCAAAATTACTGTTTTAGTTACATGTTTATTTTTTAAGGGGGTGATTTTGTATGAGTATTTTTAGAAGACTAAGTACATTGATTAATTATTTTAAATGGCTCTTATGCTGTGTTCTTCCTCCTCATGTTCCATTTCAAGTAGGATGAAATAGAAAGGACCGGAAAGAACAAAGAGCATGAATACATGAGAGAAGAGCAAAAATACATGGAAAAACAGATTAAACCCCATTCAGAGCTATATAAAAACCTACATTTAAAAAATATCTTGTCCTTTTCTCTATTTTTTTACAGTAATAAGTGGGTAAAACAAAATATTATTTTAGGTTAAAATTTCATGAAAGCTTTCTTGTTGAGGAAAGCTTTCTTGTTTTCTTTCAGGAAAGCTAGTCTTGCTGAAGAAAAATGGGAGAAATTAAATTGCCTGTGCTTCTTATCAAAGCCAGTACTGTGTCTATAATTTACAAAGACAAGAGAAAAGAATCACAGAAGAGGATGACCAACGTTGGAAAAGACCCTTAAGTCCAGCCCAGCACTGCCAGGCCCACCACTTATCTACATCCCTAAACTTGCTTAAAATTGGTCTAGTTTCATCATAGAGCATAAAATTCCTCTCCTCATCATTCCACTGCCTAAAGGACTTAACTTTGGCTTGTATTATGCCAATGAGGAGTAAATCTAAGCATCCTTATACTGAAATTAAAACATGTTGGTTTGGACAATACAGCATCAGGCTGATAAGCCAGGCCTGGCAGATAAGCCAGGCCTGTGCCTGGGTTTTGACGCTCCTTGGGGCAGTATCTCAAAAGTCTGTGCTACACAACCTGCCCTGCTGGGTGACACTTGGCCACACATCATGATTTTGAGTGTTTTTTGATGCTTTTGGATGCTTCCAAGGGCTGCCTGTTTACCTTTAGCTAATAACTCACGTGCTACTTTCCCTCAAATTATTACAATCTGGCTTCAAAGGTGCAAGAGTTTGGGCTACTGAGGTACCAGCAGCAGTTGGAAAAGATTTCTTTAAATATTCTTTGAGTCTAGGTTTAGCTGTGATAAAGCAATACTATTTCCAAGTAAATCACTAGGCCCCATCCAAAACTGATAAACACACAAAACCAGTTCTTCTGTTTGTGTGTCATGCTTGTGATTGGAGGCATTTTTACCAGTGCTGTGGCAGCCAAAGCAAGCACCATTTTTAAGGGTAGGGCGTGCATTTTAGAAAATGCTTCAAAGATGCAGCAGCAAACTCAGAGGTTTTCCACAGTGCAGGGTCATGCATCCCTCCATCCAACTCTGACCCATGGAAGGTTCATCCAGGACCTCCAGGTTCCACTGTCTCCTCAACAGAGACTTTTCCTGGACCCAGAAAGGAATGCCAAGTTTGTTTCTCTTATATCATGGACACACCCATCCCATTAAATGTGCCTGGCTCTTGCTGTGCTAGGCCCTGCATCTGTTCTATTACTGAATTCCCCAGGGGATCTCCTAGAGGAGTTTTCAAAAACCTTCTGCATTACAGGAAATATAAGCTCAAAATAACAAAAAAACCCAAGGTGTCACCCTAAATTAAAAGTGTATTAAGTGCTGATGATGCAAAGTTGTTAAACGCCTTCATATGTGTGGTGGGATGGCAAGAACGGCCTGCCAGGCCTCCACCCTGCTGCTCTCTCCCTCATCCTTCCCCAAAGGGTGGTGGGAAAGAAATAAGCAACAGCAGCAGCTCCTGGGTTGAGATAAGGACAGGGAGATCTCTACTTGCCAATTACTGTTGCAGGCTAAACAGATACGACTTGGGGGAAATTAATTTCATTTACCTAATTCAATTTAATTGACAATAATTTATTACTGCTTGAAAATAAGGGTAGGATGGTGAGAAGCAGAGATAAGAAGGAAAAACTGCTCTTCCCACTTCGTTGGCTGGAATACATGATCCTGTGACTAAGTGTCCTGTGCCACAGCAAATGGAGCTGCCCTGATGGGCCCTGCTGACATCAGGGAGACTTCTGAAACCAAGAGGTCTTCTGAGAAGTCTCCTCACCACTCTGTTGGGACTTGGCTGTGAACAAAACTTGGGCTGGAAACAGCCAGAAGAATGGAATAATTGTGGGGAATATTTTATTGCTGCAGTGGGGCCCAGCACTGGAATTTTATCATGTTTGTAAATTTCTCACTTTTGTTGTTGTTGTGATGGCATTACTTTTGTTCTGGTGTAGGGAATATTTTGGTGTGAGGAATATTTTGGTGTGGGGAGAGGTGCCAGTGCAGGGGCTCATTCTCAGCCAGAAGCTCATGGAGAGGACCCTGGCATGGGCTTATGTGAGGGCCTGCAGCCCAGGGAAGGGGCCTGTGCTGGAGCAGAAAGAAAGTGTGAGGAGAAAGAAGTGTCAGAGGGAATGTTATGAGCTGAAGACAGTCCTCATTCCTCATTGCCTCACATTGCCCGGGTGGGAGGAGGTAGAATCAGAATTTAAGGGCTGAAGGGGTGAAGGGGAAGGCTTTTTTAGCTTCTATCTGTCTGGGATGGAGGTCACTTTCCTCAGAGCACTGTGTGTGTGATGCATTGCTGTGAGCTGTGCTGCTCACCCCACACTGAGGTCTCCTCTCTCTTTCCTTCACCCTGTCCCAAAGCAAGCACTCTGGGAGTGGGATGGAAGTTGAGAGGGGACATGGAGATATTCAAGCTGACCTTGGGGCTATCCCATGCCATGAGATGTCAGGTTCAGCATAAAAGCTCAAGGAAAGGAGGAAGATGGGATGTTGGTGATTATGGCATTTGTCTTTGCAAGTGGCCATTAACCAAGCTGAGGCTCTGCCTCTCAGGAAGCAGCTGGACATCTGCCTGCCAGTGGGATTACTGAATGAATCTTTTATTTTGCTTTGCTTACATGGGCAGCTTTTGTGTTGCTTAATAAACTCCATTATCTCAACCCATGACTCTCTTTGCTTCCCTTTGAATCTTTTCCTCCCCAGCAAAAGGGAATGAATTAAAGGCAGGGTGGATGCTTGGATGCTGGCTGGGGTCAGCCCACTGCAACGTGTCATCAGCATCTATAAATTATCACAGAGGTAATGTGCTGTTGAGATTTGGGTTTTATAACATTTCCAATGAAAGGCAGGGGAGCCAAGAGGAGACATGAGACCCTTTCCCCACCTGTGGTGTCTCAGCATCCTGTGCTGCCACATGGAAAGGATTAAATCCCCCACAAGCAAAGCAGAACCCAGGAGCTGTCCAAGAAGCAGTGAACAGTGTTGGTGGGGTACAAAAAATACTTTAGCACCATTGCTAAAGCATGGTGCTGCATGCTTTAGCAAGAAAACTATCCCTAGACACATGTATTGTCATTTCTGAATTTACTGTGTAATCTGAACCCATCTCTTTGGGTTTGTTTGAGTTTTTTTTTAATGTTACATTTCACAAGTGTCTGCTAGTTATCTGAAGAAATATTTCCTTTATCACCTACAAAAGCAGCAGCTTCATGTGACACTGGATGTTTTAATCTCATCCTGTATTGGAGGAAAGCCCCAAAAGAAGAAGTAGTGTTTATGTCTTAAAGAGCATTCCCCAAGTCACCTTTCTTATGCCAAACAATCACAGAAATGTGTTCCTCTTGCATAGGAAAGATATGCTGGGATTTCACCACCTGCCACTGCTGGGTCCAGGGAGGAGAAATCTGCCACCCTTTCCTCTAGGAAAAGACAATTCAGGCAGAGCACAGAGCCACAGGATTGAGGAGGACCTTGCAGGACAAACAAAGCTGACCATGTAAGCAGAGAAAATTCAGCTCCCAACAAGCTAAAATTAATTCCAGTGACAGCTGAAAGCATTAAGCATCTTCCAAGATGATGGTGTCTAGCCACAGGCAAAAATGTCCTTTCTGGGGAATACAGTCACTCGAGTATCATCAGAAAAGAGATGTAAAAGGTTAGCAAAATCAAAGCACACGCATTTGAAACTTCAGTCATCTCACACAAATGTTTCAGTAGTCCTGCAAAAGCCAACAGATTGGGTGCAGAACAGAAGGTATCCCACCATAATATTGCTGGGGAGTTGAATGGAGCTACATAAATAGAAATACTTGGGGTTTCTTGGAATTTTACAGAACGTTTAACAGGCCCCATTCTCTTTAATAAGGTATTATGGACAGCCTGCTTTTATCTGAGCTGCTTTCTATCAACCCATTTCCTTTGTCTTCAGTTGTCCCTGATGTGTTTAAACAGATGTCACATAAAGCTGTATTTAGTCACATTAAAATCAAAGCCTTTGTTTAGATGCAAGCAAGCACTCCCAGTTAGCTCCCCATATATCAGATACTTCAGGTTTGTATTTTATTGTTCAAATCTACCAAGGTAAAACAGTTCCATCCAAGATTAATACCAGCAATATTTCCAGAAAAGGTTATCCTGAATCATATTGTTGGGTGTTTTTGTGTTTTTATATAACCCACATGAGATCCTGTTGCTAAGCAGAAAGCAAAATCAATATAGAAGGCAAGCCATACCAGCTCCTCTTTGAATTGCTGTAGACATTTCACTTTCTTGCAACTGCTTCTCTTTTAATGGTTTTCTCCCAGAAAAATCTGGCTTGACTTTCTGACTAGTATTTTATAGTTCACCATATCCTAGAATATATCACATAAGACATCGTGCTATTTGGCTCAAATGTACCACTTTGATGAAGCTGCTAAGACGGCCTTCATTAGTAAATGACCTTCTCTAACTAAGGAGTGAAATGGGATAAATTTTAATTAGAGACTCCTTCAGCTACTCTGCCAGTATCTTTATGTCTCTTTCTCCTCCATCCAAATGACAGCAACTTTTGCTGAAATTATGCATTGCAGAAAACTCCTTATTTTCAGTGACAAGAACCACTTAAAAACTTGCCTTCCATGTCAAGTAAATTAAAAGTTTATTTTATTTGTCTAACAGGATACAGTCATTGAACAATCTATCTCCTGTGTCACAGCTGCCAGGAAGGGTCATGCAGGTGAGGGGAGCTCTTCATTTGTCACTCATCCTTTCTCCTTCTCATGGGTCTGACAGAAGTACTGATCCTGTTCAAGATGTTGTAGTTATAGAGAATGTATGTATGTTATATCCCAGTAATTTTAGCCATGCTTCCTTTTCCAATCATAGAATCATTTGGATTGGAGAACTCTCTAAGATCATCAAGTTCAACATCAACGCAGCACTGCAAAGCCCATGGCAGAATCATTTCCCTTAGTCCCACGTCTACATGTCTTTTAAATCCTCCCAGCAATGGGGACCCCATCACTGCCCTGGGAAGCCTATTCCAACCTCTTTGGTGAAGAAATTTCCAAATGTATTCAAAATTAAATCCTCCCTAGCAAAATCTGAGGCCATTTTCTCTTGTCCTATTGCTTCCAGATATTTATTCTGGACTAAGATAATTGTTTTGGTGAACTATGTAATGTTTGCTTTTGATATGAGAGTGTTGCTGGTCGTGAAACTCACCTTGTCTATGTGTTCAGTACTGCAGTCACCTTCATACTTCATGAGTCATCTAGTGGAAACATCTTCCTCCATCTTGATCCTTGCCTGAGGAGATGGGCATTGACAAACCCTTTAGGAAAATGACACAAGCCCTCAGACTCTGGAGGCTACTCCTGCCAAGTGTGAGGGAAAGAAATCCTGAGCTCTGGTTGTACTGAACCCCCCTTGAACTGTGTCATCAGTCTCTGCAGTGTGCAGATTCTCTGCCCCAGTGTCCAAAATTGGTCTCCAGGCCTCATTTTCTGTCTCTCCAGCAGGCTGGCAGAAGGGCAGGACCTCCCTCTGGCAATTTGGCTGCTGCCTGTGCACGGTTCCATGGCAGGAACTCAAAGCATTCCCCCAGTGCTCCCCAAGAAGTTCTGTTGGGACGGTGAGCCCCTCCTGCTCATGGCCATGGACCAGGGAACTCTGGCAGCCCTGTCTGAGCCTCGTGGTGCTGCATCTCTGCCCCTGCTCTCTTCTCTGCGCTCTGAGCTGGGCACATGTCTGAAATGAACAGCCTAAACTGATGCCAGCACAGCCCACTCCACTGTCCAGCATGGGTGTCCTGGTTGAGGGCAAATTTGGGAGAGAACCCCCGAAGGGGTTCCTCTGGAAAGCAGATTCAATTGGCCCCTCTCACAACCAGTTTGGGAAAAAATACCTCCTTGGAGAAGAGTGGAAAAAACTGTTTATTAAGCAATAAAACCTAAACAATATTAAACAATAAAACGTCTAGCTGCTCCAAAAGAGATACAAACTCAGAAAGTCTCCTCCATGGGCTGTGGCTCAGCTCACTCAGTCTCCTGTCAGTCCCAGGGGTGCTGGAAATGCTGCGGCCCAGGCCCAGCTTGGTGGGTCAAAGGTGTGAGCTGCCAGTGCTCTTCTGGTGTTCAGTCTGGAGAAGGTCTAAACAGGTCCAAAGAAAATGGAAAAAAACCCCACAGTCCAGGGAACTTCTTTGCCTCAGCTAGCTAAAATTAACTAAAAGCAAAGGAGAACTTTGTCCTGCTGTCTGTCCATCTGCAGACATCACAGTCCAGGAGCAGGAATGTGGAGGAGTGAGTGCAGTTTCTGAAAAGAAGCTCCGTGCTTCTTCTCCCCCCACCTTCACTCTCGGCACACGTCTTAAAGGTGCAAAACTTATTATTCAGCAAAACCAGAGCAAGACAACTGGGGATAAAAGCATCATATAGTCAACCTAGGACAATGGGCATGACCAGAATGGTCAGTGACATCCCAAGTGACACATGGGCTGGTGCCTGAGTGGTCACACACTCATCTTCAGCCACAAGAAGGAGGAGACTGGACAGAGAAATGTTGCTGACTGCCTGTCCAGGCTCTGAGCTATTAGGACACTCATGGTATCACACTGCACATGCACTCCAAGGCGTTGTGAAGCTCTGGACAAACCCAATCAGACAAAGACCCTTGGTTCACCCTCTCCCTTCTGATGGTAGGACTAACAGCCATGCTGTTAAATATCTTTTGTGCTGCAAAAATCAACTGCTTTACTTCTTTAAGCTGGAAATTCCTCCCAGCACTTCTGAAAAAAAAAAAAAGCCAAACCCAACAACCAAACCAAAAATATTCCATCCTGAATACCCAGAACAGAAATAAATGTCTCGTGATTGAGCAGATATAGCACAGCATTTGCCAGATTAAAAGGATGATTAATTCATACACTTTATACTTACAAGTTATTTTGGAAAGAGCGTGAGCAATATATGCCTGGAAATTCCCAATTAGATTCAAGAGCATGTTGGAGTGAGCAAGCCCACGCCCACAGGAGCAGATGTTTGTTTGCACTATCAGAGTGTCATGTATCACCTACACAACTGATTTCAGAGATGAGAGGGGTGGTTAAAGGGCTCTGCAGTATTCAAAGTGACCGTGGAATTCATTTGAACATTACACTTCTCAGAATAAACAGTTCTTGAAGAAAATTTCAGAATAAAATGCCAATGAGAGAGAGAGAGAGAGAGAGAGAGAGAGAGAGAGAGAGAGAGAGGAAAATTCTCACCCTGTTTCCTGAGTGAAAGCTTTTGTGCTGATATTTTTCTTGGAGCTAAAAAAAATGGTTGGGAGGGAGGGAGTGTAGGGGAAAATGGAGGAAAAAGAAATATTGAACATGGTGTCAGCCACCTGATGGTTTTCTAATGACTTCTGTGGACTTTAGTAGGTTTAGGAGATTGTCTCTGATGCAATTCTCTGGCTTTGATGGTATCCAGCTCCCCTTCTGGATTTTGGGGCCCTTGTGCATCTGCTCCTCTGTCCATGTGCTACTTTTCTCTTGCCTTGCCTTGCCTTCCCTCCTTCAACTGACAAAGGTTAAGAGGTGCTGTGTCAGCATCTTGGTGGTTTTTTTCAGGTTGCTTCTGTGAACAAAAACCCA